TTAAAGGCGTGTGCCACCACAGCCCGGCTATAGAAAGGCGTGCGGGATTAAAGGCATGTGCCACTTTGGCCCCACAAGCCATGCCTTAAATCCCAGCACAAGGGAGTCAGAGGGAGGCTGATCTCTGAGTTTGAGGTCAGCATAGTCAACACAGTGAGTTCCATTCCAGCAGGTGTTGGCATGCTATTTGAGCCCAGCATGGAACAGACGGAGGTGGAGGCTAACCTGGTCTCCAGAGGGATCTCCAGGAGAGCCAGGGTTCACAGTGAGTTCCACAATGGCAGGGTTACTACCTTGTATCTAAATAGAAAATGAAACAAGTAATTTGCATCTGCTGATTGATGCAGGGACTCCTCATCCTGGAGCCTATACTGTCCTCAAACTTGAGAAAAGCAGCCTGCTTCCATTTATTCAGTGTCCAAATGAAAAGGCTGAGCTATCTGCTGACATTTAATTAGAAATCCTGCCCCTTTCAGTCTTCCTAGTTTCAGAAGAACTCAGGAAGTTGTTCTGGTGCTCTAGAAGTATTAACAGTTTTGGTATTTATTGTTCTAGTGAGTTTCCTTCCTCTAGAATGTGAATTTTCCTTCCCATCTCTAGTCTTCTCTGTTGTGGCATTTTAGTTGTATTTTTTGTTTTTTTGGTTTTTTTGAGACAGGGTTTCTCTGGCTTTGGAGCCTGTTCTGGAACTAGCTCTAGTAGACCAGGCTGGCCTTGAACTCACAGATCCGCCTGCTTCTGCCTCCCAAGTGCTTGGATTAAAGGCGTGTGCCACCACAGACCAGCTTCGATTGTATTTTAATAAATAAAGCTTGCCTCTGGAGAGTAAAATTGCCACATTGTTCAGTCTTACAGCCAAGCAGTGGTAACACAGCCCTTTAATCCCAGTAGCATCACTGGTTGCCGTAGAAACCAGCAGTGCATGACTTTAATCCCAGCCCTAGAGAGGATTATAAAATGGAAGGAGACAGCTCTCACAGTCTCATTCTGAGATTCCTGGAGGAAAGATCACCATTTTCAGTTTGAGCTTTAGGTAAGAGACAGAGACTGGCTGCATTGCTATTCAGATCTTCAGGTTGAACTCCAATTTCTCTGAGTTTTTACTAATCCTGCTTCATTAAGCACCCAATTGTTTTGTATGCCAGTTTATGAAAAAGTTGGTTACCTGAGTCTTTTTGGCCACCCTCCCATGGAGACTTGGGACTGGAATTCTAGCTCCAGGAATTTGAGCCCAAACCTACCCACCTGTTTTTGTTTTTTTTTAAAGGAGCTTCCTGACTAAGCTTTAGCAGCAATAAACTCTCAGAGGTTTTCTCTGTATTTTTGGCTGTCCACAAATTCAGTGACACACTGGATTCGAACTCACAGAGATCTGCCTGTCTATGTCTCCCTAGTGCTGGAATTTAAGGCTTGTGCTACTATGCCTGGTTTCCTCCCAGCTCCTTTGAGATTCTCTTTCACCTACACTTAAATGGTGTTAATGAGCAGTACACGGGCTTCTTGGTAGTGGCTAGGACCTTAACGCCAGACTTGTAACAAAAACATGGCTACTGCTAGTGTCACCGTGAAGCTAGACTATTATTAGGAAGGCAAGGAATGAAGCAGAACCAGCTGCCAAAGCCGCAGCTCTAATCCTAGCCATGCTGTTTAGCAGATTAGAGACTCTGTGGTCAGAACAAGATAGAGATGCAGGAAGGCAGATTCAGGTGGGGGGAAAAGGCTATAAATGGTTTACAATGGGTTCAAAAATATATGTAGGCTTGTGAGAGGAAAAGGATGAAGCCCTTAAAACAAAAGAGATGGGTGTGGCACACGCCTTTAATCCTAGCACTTGGGAAACAGAGGTAGGGAGAACTGAGTTCAAAACTAGCCTGGTCTAGAGTTAGATTCAGGACAGCCAAAGAAACACAGAAAACCTATCTCAAAAAGCCAAAATCAGCGCCAAAAGACATTTGAGTAGATAGAAGTCTGCTGGATTAGTCCAACCTAGATATTTCAAAAAGGCTGTGAGTTCAAAATTTTTAATTCAAAGGATATTTTACTTTGGAGAAGTTTTGCTTTTGGTTCCACATGAAGTGAGAGGCTGTGGGTCCATTCAGTGTTTAAAAAAAAATAAGGATTCTTCAAGAGAGACCCCCTGAAATATCTCATAGGGACAGATGGCCTAGATGATTCAACATTTTAGAGCACCTCTGTTGCTGTTTCCTCTGTTTTCCACCTCCACAGTAGTTTCAAGACTGCTTCTGAGATGATCCAGCCTCACCGAATAATCCAGTCAGGACTTGACCATAATCCTAAATCTTCTTTGTGTCCCCCATAAGATTATCAGTTCCTCCAATCAGCAGGAAGCGCCCTAGAAAACTATGCCCCCATTTCCCAAATATGGATTATGGATGGTCTGTCTTTGTTTAGTGTGTTGGTTACAAGTTATGGATAATGGTCAGGAAAACAACTAAACAAAGGAAATTAGATTCAATGTTTTTGTGAGACGAGGTTTCTGTACATAGCTTTGTAGGCTGTCCTGGCAGTAGCTCTGTAGACCAAGCTGGCCCTGATCTGAGAGAGCTGCCTGCCTCTGCCTCCTGAATGTTGGATTAAAGGTACGTGCCACCCCACCAACCTCCCATTGACAATGCTGATCTTTTTGTCAATTTAAGATAGGTATTTTTCTTTGGTGTGGGGGATATAGAGTTTATTAGTAGTTGATGTAAGGAAGGAAAAAGGCGAAGGGAGAGAGAGGAAAGGAGAGAGAGGCAGCAACCAATTTTCTGAAGTGAGACAGGGAGAGAGAGAGAGAGAGAGAGAGAGAGAGAGAGAGAGAGAGACAGAGAGAGAGAGAGAGAGAGAGAGAGAGAGAGAGAGAGAGAGCTAAACTACATATTCTTGAGCATGCCTTAAATCCCAGCAGTAGGGAAGCAGAGGAAGGCTGGTACTTAGTTGTGAGTTTGAGATCAGCCTAGGCTTCAGAGTGAGTTCCAATCCAGGAGGTGTGGGAATGCTATTTTATCCCAGCATGTAGCAGACACAGGGAGGTGGATTTCTGAGTTGGAGGCCACCCTGGTCTACAGAGATTTCCAGGACAACCAGGGTTCACAGTGAGTTCCAAACAGCCAGGGTTAATATCTTGTTTTGAAATTGAAAATGAAAAAAAAAGTTTTTGCATCTGTCGATTATAGGAGCCTATAGTGTTCTCGAATTTGCAGAAAGCAGCCTGCTTCCATTCAGTGTCCAGCTGACATTTAATTAGAAATCCTACCCCCTTCAGTCTTACTAGTTTCAGAAGAACTCAGGAAGCCATTCTGGTTCTCTAGAAGTAAACAGTTGTGGCAGTGTTCTAGTGAGTTACCTTCCTCCAGAATGTGAATAATCATTTCCATCTCTAGTCCTCTCCTTTTTAGTTTTATTTTTCTTTTTTGCCTGTTGTCCCCCTCTTTCTTTGGAGAGACTGCACACCACAGAGAGGTGAATCGTGGCTTTAGCTCCCTATGTGTGCAGAAGGACTTCCTAAGTTTACAATCATTAATGGTCTCTTTCTTTTTTTTTTCTTCCGTTTATTTATTTATTAAAGATTTCTGTCTCTTCCCCGCCACCTCCTCCCATTTCCCTTCCCCTCCCCCAATCAAGTTCCCCTCCTTTGTCATCCCATAGAGCTATCAGGGTTCCCTGCCCTGTGGGAAGTCCAAGGACCACCCACCTCCATCCAGGTCTAGTAAGGTGAGCATCCAAACTGCCTAGGCTCCCACAAAGCCAGTACGTGCAGTAGGATCAAAAACCCACTGCCATTGTTCTTGAGTTCCCAGTAGTCTTCATTGTCCGCTATGTTCAGCGAGTCCGGTTTTATCCCAGGTTTTTTCAGACCCAGGCCAGCTGGCCTTGGTGAGTTCCCGATAGAACATCCCCATTGTTTCAGTGTGTGGGTGCACCCCTCGCAGTCCTGAGTTCCATGCTCGTACTCTCTCTCCTTCTCCTGATTTGGACCTTGAGATTTCTGTCTGGTGCTCTAAATTGGGTCTCTGTCTCTGTCTCCTTTCATCGCCTGATGAAGGTTAATATTCAGGAGGATGCCTATATGTTTTTCTTTGGGTTCTCCTTATTTAGCTTCTCTAGGATCACTAATTATAGGCTCAATGTCCTGTGTTTATGGCTAGAAACCAAATATGAGTGAGTACATCCCATGCTCCTCTTTTTGGGTATGGCTTACCTCACTCAGGATAGTGTTTTCTATTTCCGTCCATTTGTATGCAAAATTCAAGAAGTTCTTGCTTTTTATTGCTGCGTAGTACTCTAATATGTATACATTTCATACTTTCTTCATCCATTCTTCCATTGAAGGGCATCTAGGTTGTTTCCAGGTTCTGGCTATTACAAATAATGCTGCTATGAACACAGTAGAGCATATACTTTTGTTGTATGATAAGGCCTCTCTTGGGTATATTCCCAAGAGTGGTATTGCTGGGTCCAGGGGTAGGTTGATCCTGAATTTCCTGAGAAACTGCCACACTGCTTTCCAAAGTGGTTGCACAAGTTTGCATTCCCACCAGCAATGGATGAGGGTACCCCTTTCTCCACAACCTCTCCAGCAAAGGCTATCATTGGTGTTTTTGATTTTAGCCATTCTGACAGGTGTAAGACGGTATCTTAAAGTTGTCTTGATTTGCATTTCCCTGATTGCTAAGGAAATTGAGCATGACCTTAAGTGTCTTTTGGCCATTTGAACTTCTTCTGTTGAGAATTCTCTGTTCAGCTCAGTGCCCCATTTTATAATTGGGTTGATTAGATTTTTACGGTCTAGTTCTTGAGTTCTTTATATATTTTGGAGATCAGACCTTTGTCAGTTGCGGGGTTGGTGAAGATCTTCTCCCAGTCAGTGGGTTGCCTTTTTGTCTTAGTGACAGTGTCCTTTGCTTTACAGAAGCTTCTCAGTCTCGGGAGGTCCCATTTATTCAATGAGGCCCTTAATGTCTGTGCTGCTGGGGTTATATAATGGTCTCTTTCTTTGCCTGCTTCCCCAGGGTCATTATTCCTGAAACCAGTCACAATGAGAGATCAAGCCCCACCAACACTCCAGCAGCTAGCGTTCGAGAGCCTACTGAAGAAGGAGGCCTTGGCCATTTCTGGTCTAGCAGACTGGCCCTGGTTCCTGTTCCCAGCAGCATTTGAGAGGGCCTTCAGGAACAATCAGACCAACATCCTGCGGGCCATGGTGCCTGCATGGCCATTCACATGCCTTCCTGTAGGAATCCTGATGAAGACCCCACACCTGGAGACTTTGAAAGCTCTGCTTGATGGGCTAGATGTGCTGATTACAGAGGAGCCTTGCCCCCGGTAAGCAAGATCCAGCTCGGTTGGAGGAGGCTCTGTGTGTACAAAGCAAGACCATGTGGGGCCAAGGACTATTTGGTCAAAGAGGGTTGAGAATTCTAATAGCATCTGCTTAGAGGATTTTAGAGGTTTTGGCCTGGTCTCAGCCATCTTGGCAATAATAATGTGGAGAAGACGAGAACAGCCACTGAGGAATCAATCCCTCAAGGGTGTCTGTCACTCAAAGTTCCGGGTGGAATGAGGCTGGGATCAAGGGGAATGGAAGGATGTGGGACAGGGCTGAGGATGCCTCCCTGGTAAAGTTCTCTTTATACTGAGCATGAGGTCCTGGCCTTCATTCTATGTATAGGAAAAAGCAAGCTTTTGGAAGGGAGAGCTGAAGTGTGAGCTGTGGATAAGAAGAAGACTGTAATATGTACGGTATTTGCTGAGATTGCTACCTGTTTCTCCCACAGCCGCGGGAAAATCAGAGTGCTGGATTTGACAAATAGGGATTCCTGGCACAATCAGAGTCAATCCTGTGAAAGGGAACTCTTTCTTCAGTTCACGAGAGAGAAGACAGTGGAGACGTGTCCTTACTCGCGAGTAGAGAAATATTTAAATGTCATAACTGACCTAAACATCATGGAGAGTGAGTGTGATGAATGTACCACATACTTGTGGCGATGGGCCCAGCAGAGACAAAATTCTGTTCATTTGTGCTGTCCAAAGATTGATATTTTGACATCAAAATGCTTTCCCACAGCCATAGACTTCTTAAAGTCTGTAGATCTCCACTGTGTAAGGGAGCTGCAGTTGAGATGTATATGGATAGAAGACATGGGTCCTTTTGGACCGTACCTGACACAGATGAGAAATCTTCACACCCTCCGTTTGGCATACATTCAGAAGGATTCAAGCATCAGTGGATCTGAAGAGCTGGAAGAGGAATGCGTGAACAAATTGGTATCACAATTACCCAAATTCCACTGTCTCCAGCATCTCTATATCAACTATTCTCCTGCTCTAGTTGGCAGCCTGGCTGATTGTCTCAGGTAAGGAAGGATAAAGAGAGGTTCTCCAGACAAATAACCCACCTTTTGCTTATAGGTTAGGAGGTCCTTGAACGTCAGGCTATGCGCTATCAACCTTGTACATCCAAGGAGATGAGCTCTGTGCTAAGACACCTGTGACCAGCCCCAAGGGTGCCGATAATTGCTCATTAGAGAAAGGTTGTCGGGTGCATAGAAAGAGATTGAGTTAGTGGGAAATGGGTGACACCTGCATTGACGTTGTGGGACCAGGACATGGCAGTGTTGAGGAAAGGACGTCAGGGGACCCTACAGGGAAACCGCTGTGGTGTCGCTCAAGCTCGCTTGGGGTAGGTAGTCTTTACAGTCACCATATTGACTCCTCCTGATAGGAAAATCGCTGGTTTTTCTCCCGTGGCCTGAGCCTGGCCCATGCTAGACTTCTGTGAATTTTGTGAGCTGACCACAAAAGGGAGAGTCATGGGCGTTGACCTCCTTCAGAATGAATGCGGGAGAAGTACCATCAGCTACATTGTCAGTTCTAACCATCCTCTTCAACTCCATTTGACAGAAATCTCATTCTCTCTCTAGGTGCCTGAAGACGCCCTTGGAGACCCTGTCCATCACTCACTGTTACATCATACAGAGAGACTTGGATTACCTGCCCCAGTGCCTGAACCTTTCTTTGCTTAAACATCTCTACTTGTCTTACACAATGTTGGACAGGTGTATTAAGCCACTTGTCTATCTCCTTGAGAGCGTGAAAGACACCTTGGAAACTCTTGACCTGGCCGGTTGTCGGCTGGAGGATTCTCAATTTAGTGCTTTGATGCCTGCCCTGAGTCAATGCTCCCAGCTCCTCAAGATTGATTTGTACATGAATGAGCTGTCTCTACCCATCCTCAAGCAACTGCTTCACCACACAGCCAAGCTGAACAAGCTAACCGAAGAGACATACCCTGTCCCTCTGGAGTACTATGATGGATGCCGTGTGCTTGTACGCAGATTTGATGAACTTGGTCCTGAGCTTCTGGATATACTCAGGTCTGAAAGACAGCTCAAGGCAGTCTGTTTTTTTGCAGCCACCTGCCCTACCTGTTATGTGCGTTATGCCTATGACCTGAAGGGCAGCTGTTGCTTGGGAAATACTGTGGCGGCACGTTGCCCAGTGATGCCGAGGGAATACTCTTATGAGGTATGGTTGAAAAAGTTTGGATTATTGAACCTTTAGACTGCTCCCCACAGAGACTCCTACCATGAGTAGCAGTGCCCTTCTGTCCACGGCACAAAATAAATGTGCTGTGATTCTGGTTTGCTGGTGTCAGCTTCACAGCAAACAGTCAACTCATTCCCAGCATTCTCTGTTTCTGTTTTTTCTTCATCCTACTCACCTAGTAAGTCTCAAAGCTATATGGGCCATGAAATTCTTTGGGACCCAGGGCACATGACTTCAACCCTTCAGTCTAGTAGTCGTCTGAGTTCTAAGATTGCTAACCATTACCAAGAGGCCCGGCTTGTAAGCCTCATAGCAGTGGGGCCTTATTCTTCAAAGCTCCTACGCCATGGTTGTAGCTGGTGACTTTCACATAAAAACCTCCTTTACAGGGGCTGAGGAGATGGCTCAGTGGTTAAGAGCACTGACTGCTCTTCCAGAGGACCTGAGTTCAATTCCTAGCAGCCACATGGTAGCTCAAATCTCTGATCTGGTCTCCTCTTCTTGTGTGACAGGCAGAACATTGCATCATAATAATATACATAATAGTAATCATAATCCTTGAAAAATATTCATTACTTGGGCATGTTACATTTTCTTGGTCTCTAAGAAGTGTACTTTAGCCCTGCAACTATATTTTTTCTATATTTTGGTGTTACTGTCTCTGATGCTACCCTATTCACTTTGTATAATTTGGTGCCACAGTTTTCTTAATCATACTCATTGTTGTTAGAAAATGATGAATAGAAGTCCTACACTCATTCATCACAGGTATTATGTGCTTATTTCCCTAAACCACGACTGAAGGAATGTTCAAGGATACTACACTCCCAAGTTATATTGGGTATCAAGTGATAACCAAGAGGGACAATGTCCTTGTATTTGACCCTTGCTAGAATTTCAAGTTGACATTATTTACAATACACCAACATTCAGAGACCTAATCTGACAGTGAGATGGGCACATTGGAACCCCAAGATACATATTTCTTCATACACCCAGAAGGGTTTGTATACTGGCTAGGAAGAGCACTTTCTTTAGCGTATTCCCTGGTAGAGAGATGTCAAATGCCATCCAATAGGAGTCTTACATCAATCCATCTGCTGAGATCTGAACCACTCTCAGTTGTTGCAGCTCTTTAGGTTCTCGACAGAGTGTCACACCCTGTTTCCTGCCTGTATGCATGGCAGACAGTAATATGTCCCTTTAAAAGATGCATCTCCACCCATTTCACTTTCTCTCTCCCTCTCCTGTTTCTGCAGATCCTGTCCCCAGAGACTGATCCCTTCCCTGCCTTTTCCCCTTCTGTCAGTAAACTTATTAGTTAAACTCTTTCTGCATAACCCCTTTGTCTGTCCCTCACTTGCCTTGGGGTCTCACCTGCCACCAAGGCAAACACTTGTAAAATAAAAACAAGTGAATCCTAACACATACACACACAAACACAAATAACCTACATGAACTAGAACAACCTCGTTTAACAATTGAACTGTTGAAATTTCACTATGGCATTCTCACACATACACATAATTTACTCTGCTCTTCTTCATTGACCTCCCCCATGCTCCTCCCTCTGTTTCTTTCTTGCCCTCCAACAATGCTGAAAGCTTCATTATTCACTCCCCTATTGATTTTGCACTTACACATATCAAAAAGTCCCAATCAAAAAGACTCCCTCTACCCAACAACCAACCTGCCTACCTACACTCACTGGAATTCAAACTAAATTCACATATTACATCTTCAAGCATGGGCTGAGCTGAACATATCTAAGTATCTAAAACACCCTCCAGTACTGGAGAAGACAAGGCTATCTAACAAGAACTTACCTGCACCTCCCCCCTTTTCGCTTCATGTATCCCCACAAACAGACCAAGCCACACAATTGTCACCCACATGCACAGGACCTAGGCCGGTCCTCTGCCTGCTCATTAGCGGTCCATCGAAAGTCCATGACCTCCAATAGGCTCAGGTGACCTGTCTCTGTGGGTTTTCCCATCATGATCCTGCCCACCCCCACCCTTGCTCATATAATTCCCTAACCTCTCTTCAACTGGTCTCCCAGAGCTCGGCCCAGTGGTTGGCTGTGGATCTCTGCATCTACTTCCATTGGGTACTGGAGGAAGGTTCTATGATAACAATTAGAGTAGTCACCAATCTGATTACAGGGGAAGGCCAGTTCAGGCACCCTTTCCAGAATTTCTAGGAGACTTGTGGATCCTTGGGAATTTCCCTAGTACCAGGATTCTCCCTATTCCATAATGGTCTCTTCTATCAAAAATATCTCTTTCCTTACTCTGCCCCTCCATCCTGCCCCCATCTCAGCCATTTAATTCCTCATGTTTCAAGCCCCTCATTCCCTCTCTTTTATTCTCCCCCCAGTTTACCCAGGATATCTCATCTATTTCCCCTTCCCAGGGAGATACATGTGTCCCAATTAGGGTCCTCCTTGCTATGTAACTTCTCCGGAGCTGAGGATAGTAGTGTGGTCATCCTTTGCTTTACATCTACTGTTCACTTATGATTGAATACATACCATATTTGTCTTTCTGAGTCTGGGTTACCTCACTCAGGATGGATTTTTTTAGTTCCATTCATTTGCCTGCAATTTTTATGATATAAATGTTTTTCTGCTGAATAATACATACACCATTGTGTACATATATCACATTTTCTTTATCCATTCTTCAGTGGAGGGTCCATCTAGGTTGTTTTCAGGTTACTGGCTATGGAGATTATTTTCAGGTGTCTGCTTGCGGACTGATGAAGTCTTGGCTAGAGCAGTGAAGTTCCACCAGATTTGAGGATAGCTGCCTAGCTGCTTATTCAAGACATCACTTTCATTCTAAGCGGGAATCTTAATCATCTTTGCTCCTCTCTGAGTGTTATCTGTTTGGGTGGGGCTTCACCTCAGCCCTTGGCATGTTTTGGAATGTTGGGTTGAAAGTTCCATTTCAAGCCCCTTCCCTTGGAAGTTGCCTCAGTCCAAACTCCACGTCCAAGAAAGGCCACCAAACAGTGAACCTTTCCCCAGAGAGGGTCAAGACCTCTCCCACAGGGTATTTAAACTGTCCCCAGAAAAGAACACGTGGTCTTTCTGGCTCTCCTTTTCCCTCTTTGTGGTTTCCCAGAGGGCCACCTGGGACCACTGGCATTCATTAAACCTGGGCTTTTTCTAATTTGGTTTGATTTGGTCTGATTTGTATTATTGCATCACCAGGGAGGTTTGTTGGGCTGCAAACACTTTACATTGGCCTCCTTGAACAGTGGGAGAAAGAGCAGCATTGGCAGGTTCTGCAGAGGAGAGATGGCCAAGGCCTCATTCCTCACCAGGTTCTGCTCTCCCAGCTGTAGGAGTGTGGGTGGGGCCTGGAAGGTCATTCTGATGGATGTTTAGGGAGATGGTCCTGAGGAAGAATTTAGGTGAAAATATATTTTCAGAGTCTTTCTTATGAAGCTCTTTCCCCTCACAGTGAGCACCTGTCACCACTCTGGCCTTGATGGAGACTGGCTTTGCTCATTAGTCACTATTTGGTGGTCTCAAAGGCAAACTTGCTACCCTGGCAGCATGAGGAGCCACTCATAATCAATCACATTCACCATTGTGCCATCCAGTCCCAACCTCTGCTTCTCTGAAGCCCATAGCCCTTTGGAAGGGGAACTCCAGGGAAGGAAAAATCTGAGCTCCTTTCCTCATGGCAGAAAAGATCCTAACCACCTTTCAGAGACAATGGAGTTGTGATATACCCAGTCTACCAATATTCTGATTTCAAAAGACTGATCCTGCCTGGCAGGGACTGAGGAGAATCTGGGAAATGGGGTCGTTGCCTTTAATTTTCAAAGATTTCACTCCTGGTTTAGGGAGCCAGTATCATACATCTTTGGAATAGACAGTGCACTGGGTATATGTTTGGGGGGACAGTAGTGGGGGTTCAAGTCTATTTAGCATCTTTTTTTTTCATTTTCCTAATTATGTAGCCAGAGCCAGCTATGTAGTCCAGGCTGGACTCAACTCACCCTAAGATCCTAGAGTTAGACACTAGCCAATCTGGTGCGACCTTATTGCCCAGCATGGTGTCATTCAAACACTGGCCTTTCAAATACTGCATGATGTCAGTGTGGTTTGCAAAACCTAATATTTCATTACGTTAGAGGCAAATGCAGGAGGAATTCCATGCAGTCTAGTCTATACTTTGAGTTTGAGGCCAGGCCAGTAGTAGAGGTTATAAAAACAAAAATAAGCAGGAATGGTATGGATTGATGTGTCCCTTTAATTTTGACTGAGGTTGTCTGGTGCTGGGGTTTGATATAGGCCTATGTTCTACCTCTGAGCTGTATTCAACTCAATCATTTCCTTTTATTTTACATAGAGACAAAGTCACTTCATGTACCCAGGCCATCCTAGAGCAGGAATTTTGTTTCCTCACATCTCTAGTGCTAGGATTCCAGCATTGCGCAAGCAGCCTACATGGCTTCATTTTATGTCAGTTTGAGGAGTGAACTTGTCAAACTGATCAGGATGAAGCAACTGCACCCCAACAGGCACTATCCGAAGATTCACTGTCTTGTGACCCTTCTTAACAAAACCATCCCCAATCTTGTTTTTAAGATACTGTTAAAAATTCCATCTATTATCTGGGTTGTGGTGGCACAGGCCTTTAATCTCAATACTTGAGAGGCAGAGGAGACCTACGTGGTTTACAGAGTGATTTCTAGGATGTTCATTTCTACTGCCTTGGAAAACAAAATGAATGTTTTTTTTTTCAATTTAAGCATAAAAGTGCAACCCATGAGCTGTAATCCCTGGGATTACAAACACCTGAAATAACAATGATTCCATAACTGAAAGTGAAAGACCCGGATAAATCCAGAGCCTCTAGCAGAAAAAAAATAGAGTCAAAAAATCTAGCAGGAAGAGAAGAGCCAGTATCTCGTTTAGCCAGTTCAGTGACTCTGTTTCAGGAACAAGCTGAAGATAAAGTTAGATTATAATCTTGAGAATAATCTTGAGAAACAGG